TTGTCGGGTGGGTGCTGCGCTGCGGAGCTGTATCCCTCGCCCATATGTATAATAATTTCTTCAAAGGGAAGAAAATGTTGATATTGTGCTAAGAAGGACCTAAGTTGCCTCTTGACTCTGCTATCTAGTTATGTGACATGGTACTAGACGTTGTCACACTAAACCTATGTGGCCAGTGTGGTAGGCACTAGCCACCTAAGACTATGGTACTTGAAATGTAACTAATCTCGAGTAGAGTGAGCTTTAGTGAGTTTCTCAAGTTTGTGTGAGGATTTGTAGTTTATTTGTGTAAGAGTAGAAGTGTTCAATTTTTGATTTTTTAAATGTATTTAGGACAGGATCTACAGTGTCTCACTACGTCGATGGGACTTGTAGTGATTCCTGTTTTCAGCCTCCCAAGCACTGGGATTACAGGCCCGTGCCACCATGCCCAGTCTCAGTTGCTGTCGCAGGCTGCCCCCGGGGTGGGGCCAGCAGGGGATCAAACCCTGGCCACCGCGCTTTAGTCCGCTGAGCTACCTGGCTGGCTGAAATGTTCAATTGTACTGTTGTAATTTTAATTTTCTTGCTCTTTCCTCATCTCACTCTACTTCTTTGCCTTTATTTGCCTATGCTGTTTTTTGTTATTTAAGGTTTTATCATTCTACTTGGGGGACATTGTGTTATTTTATACCCTAATAAGTCTGTTGGATATCCCGTTTCTCTTTTAATATATTTTCTCTCATTTACCTCCTGGTTATTTTTCCAATTTTCTTTTATCTAAATGTGAATTATGTATGTACTGGTCCTACTTGATAGTTGTCCAGGGCAGCTGGTATAGATGGCCTTGCAGCAGCAGCAGCAGCATTTTGGTGTTTAGATATAGTATTGAGTAAATACTCTTTTTAGTTCTGTCGTTGGAGAACAAGGGATCTGTCCAGCTATCACTCTTTCTTCTCTCTTCGACATTTGGTAGCATCTTTAGTAGTCTCAACTGTTCTGTTGCTATTGTAGGTTTTTACATAATTCCCTAATTAAGAATAGAGTTGAGCTGGGGAGACAGCTCAGTGGCTTAAGTGCCTGCCTGACAAATGCAACATCCTGAGTTCAATCTTGGTACCAAAAAAAAAAAAAAAAAAAAAAAAAAAGCAAACATCATATTGTCTCCTTTATGTGAAAAAAAAAAAAAAAAGAAAGAGTATGGTTGGCAGTGTGGACAGTCAGTAGAGATTCCTGTTGTCTTGTTTCTCACCGCTCTTCAAACTTGAATGGGGTTTCCTAGTTCCCTTAATCCTTTAAGAGTCATTCAGTGACAGAATGTAAACATGTAGATAATAATTGAGAGACTGTGTGCCAAAGAAGTTAAACAGTACTGTGTCTACATGGTTTGCGTCCCATCTCTCCTTCGGACAGATTATTATTATTATTATTTTTGGCAGAACTGGGGATTGAACTCAGGACCTTGCGCTTGCCAGGCAAGTGCTTATTCTACTGAGCTATCTCCCCAGCCCCTGGGACAGATTATTGAATCCCTGAGGTTAGGAACAGTTGGGGCATGGTAGTAGTTTAGGCTTTTT